AGTGAGAGACGCGCAATCGATGTGTTTTGTACCCTCCAGCTCTCCCATAGTCTCTACTCCCCTGCCGCTGCAAACGCTAGCAAAACGCTGGTGAAACGCTGAAACGCTGGCGTACGCTGGTGACGCTGGGAACGCTAGATCGATATGCATCCTCTCCCCGGCACTGCCGCTGGCGTACGCTGGAAGCGCTACGCTACGCTGCCGCAAAGTATAAACGCAGCCTTAGACGGGTATCGATGTGAAGAAGGCTAATGCCGTTTGGACTCCAGAAATTTCGGCTCCGAGCTCATTTTAAAAGTGGCAAGATCACCAAATCCGCTAAAAACTTGTATATAGGGGTAATTCAACATCCTGATCACGAATATGACATTCATTTTTGGCGCTGGCGCTAATGGATGACACTACGGTTACCTGCGCTCTGCTAAGGCTGAGCCCAGGAGGTAATCGTAGTGTCCTCTCTTGGCGCCAGCGCCAAGAGTGTCATACTCGTAATCAGGATGTTGAATTACCCCTATATACAAGTTTTTAGTGGATTTGGTGACTTAGGCAATTTGAAAATGAGCTCGGAGCCGAAATTTCTGGAGTCCAAACGGCATTAGCCTGTGAAGAAATGCACGACGATATGCAGAATTTACGAAAAGGATTGGATTAGATCCCTCTGTTTCCGCAATTCGTCAACTCCACAACTCTTCATTGCTGCACAAATCGTGGATACTTATCTAATGTTTTTTCGTCAATTCTGCATTCCTTCGATTCGTCGCTTCTTCAGTGTCACCAACTGATCAGGGCCTTGCTTTCCTTTGTCCTGACACTGGCCTAAAAAGTGATACATCGGCTTATGTGGTCCGGCCACATTGCTCGTGTGCTGGGTCCGCTCCACCTCCGAAGTGGACTGTGTTGGCGCGCTCCAGCGACAACAGCGCGCTCCATGTTTGCTGCGCGTCAGCTTGCGCCGTGCTACTAATAATGTCGATACGCAGCGAAGTCGTTTTGGGATGCAATGACGAGAGTTCCCGCTGTAGCAGTTTTTTTCCGGTCTTGGGAGGTTCATTCACTTTATTCGCGTTGTTGTGTTGCCTATTGGCGGGATGACTTACTGCCCTCCCAAGGTATTTATAGCTCGAGTTTCTCCATCAGAAATGCTCTCAAGCTGTTAGAAATGAGACGAGAATTGCATCCTCTCAGAGGCAGGCTTGTGTTTGTCCTAATAAGTTTTTACGCGAGTCACTTGTACCTTTTCCTTTTCGATCATGGCGATTTTCTTGTACTTTCCTCTATCTTATGAACGTTTAGAAAGTTGGCATCAAAGGTGTCGAACCTTTTGTTGTTTTTGCCTTTTTGCAGTTCTCTAGAAGCGCAGTAGGAATAGTTCTTTGACTAGTGCTTCGCTTGCGGGTTTTGTTATATGATCACATAAGTTTCTCGGTAAGAAGTAGTCTTGAATAATTGCATCTTCTCCTCACTTCTGACCCTATCACTTGTATACGCTCTGCGGTTCTTGTAGATATTGTGTGCGTCTCGTTCCTTTGGCATGCTAGAGGAGGTGATTGCTGTAAATTTCAGTAGGTCATCGAGGACTCTTGCTGAGGAACATGGCTGACGCAGGAGGGTGCGTGTATCTTGTTGTATTTTATTGTGCTGTTCCAGTACTCTGTTTCATACTGCCATTTATAGAGATGAAGTCAAGATCCCATCGGCAGCCGCTCCCCCGGTTATGGACGTGCAGGCCGCCTTGAAAGCTGTTCTGCGCTCTGCTAACTTTGCGGATGGACTTGCTAAAGGTCTTCATGAGGCAGCCAAGGCTCTCGACAAGTAAGTTGGTTGCTATTCCTGTTGAGGCACACAAAAACAGAGTATTTGATCTCTCATTGATCTGTTCTCTACCTGTCGTGTGCAAGAAAATGTGCTGACTTGCCACATCCGCTCTGTCTCGTTCACATTGTCGGGTGCCAAAGGAGGCGAACAACTTCACATACTAATCATTGCAATTCATTTCTGAAAACGATCTGGTTGTGTTTTTCAGGCGTGAGGCACATTTCTGTGTCCTTGCTGAGAACTGTGACGAGCCAATGTACGTGAAACTGGTGGAAGCTTTATGCAATGAGCACAACATCCCGCTCATCAAGGTAGCAGACAAGAAAATCATCGGAGAGTGGTGCGGTCTTTGCAAATACGACAAGGAAGGAAAGGCTCGTAAAGTTGTTGGATGCTCCTGCGCTGTCGTCAAGGACTACGGCAACGAAGAGATTGGGAAACAAGTTTTACAACAGTACTTCGACTCTAAGAAGTAACTCTGTTGTTGTTGAAATAAATTGTTGATTTTGTTATACAAGTAGGGTTATGCAACGTTTACAGTATAATCTAATATCTTCATCGTTATTTCTCCAAGGTTTACGCTAACGGTTAGGTTAATTAGGACTAGAGCCTAGAGGCTTGTCAAGGTGCAGTGTGTATCAATGAAAAGAAATATTATTGAGTTATTGAATCAAAAATGACAAAAGGGATCTGGTAAAGCTCAAAAGTCTTAGAGGAAGGCTCTCAGCAAGTTGCTTATTAATTCGCGCGGACCACTTTCTGCCCATTATTTCCCATCCTCTCTCAAAACATCCCCGAACTTCTTCTCATGGTTGCTTCGTTTCTCCATCGACGTGGTGCAGAGGTGGCCTGCTGAAATTCGTCACGCGTTATGATGAATTTCTCCCTTCAGAAGCCGTAAAGCGGTTTATTTCTTGAATGTACAGCGTCATGTAAAATTTGACCCATTGCATCGGCAATCATCTATGTATTCGTGTGGCATACCATGGGATTCATTCCTGATCCATTGCTTATAATGCACAATTAGGCCACTTTTGGTCTTGAGTATGCGGCTATATTGCTTAGAATGCACAACTAAGCTTTTTTGTCTTGAATAAGCATCCGATCCTCGTCCAATTACCGGTTTTTAGCGAGATTAGCAGATTTGGGAAATTTCCATCATTTGTGCTTATTAAGAAAGAAGGGTCTGTTCTTAATGCTGTCTCGTTGGATTAAAGACAGCGCCCGCGATGGACTTTGGCAGGTTTCAGGGGTCACATTTGCTAGAACAGGTGGCCAATGAAGCACTAATCAAAAAAAAGCAGGAAAAAGGTGTGGAAGAGCGTGAAATGTGGACGAGTTTCGCAAACTTCTGGTGAGTTCTCCAATACACGTCGCCGCCTCGGAACTCTAGAAATTCAGCGTATATCAATGCCAGCAAGCATTGATAACTGTCAACCAGTCGGGGCGGGATTAACAGGACAGGAGGCGTCAGCCCGGCTCTGTTGACTCCGCCCTCGTCAACCAATCGATTTCGAGCCGCAAGAGGATTTCTGCTGTGATTGCGAACCTCCCACGTTGCGTTTTTACAATAGACGGGTTTTTTTTCGACTTTGGTTGATCGGCGACGTGCTGCCTTTGAATGTAACTGATGATCAGTACATTCGAAACACCCGTCTTATACAACCACGTCAAGATAAAACGGGATCGCAGAGTTTACGTGCAACTGGATGTTCCCTTCACAACCCCAGATCTTTTTGAACTTTACCAGTATACCAATACTTCTTGTTTCTAGTGCACGGCTTTGAAGGTAGATCATTCCTCATATCGAATACCAGGTCTATCTTAACTGGAGCTGTGTTTAGGACATCAAGAGTAAATTAGGTTTCCAAGAACATCGTGATTCTTACATTAAAGGCAAATCAACTCTGCACACTTCGTTGTAATCATCTAACATTCGCTCTTCTTGCTTGGTGCTGAGTGATAACAATCCTTCGAAGCAGGAATTTGCGCATACGGTCGTTGAGTGCTCATTCCGATTGCGACCAGTTGCGGGATCCGAACTATTGGATCGCGATGCTTGGATGTACTCTGAAGCCGTGGTTTCTACTTTGCGAATGCGAAGGGTCTGACCGTGCTTCATTTCTCTGAATGTACACGCGCACCTGTAAAACTTTGACCGCGCGGTCCGTATCAGTCCCGAATCGCCTCGTCATCCGCTTTTTCGCCGTGCACCATAAGTGCATCTTACTAATTGCTTAAAAAAACTTTGCTTGCTACATTGCAGCTACTTAGACGTTCATGCAGACGATATGGGCGTTTGACGCAGTGTGGATGGGAGCGCAGTCAGGGCGGCCTTTCAATAATGATGTCATCCTGAGGCCGCTACAGTTGATGAGAAATCTGCGCTGGCTGCACTGCAAGCCACGCCGCCATCCTCTACCATATCGTTTTTGGGGATGACGACTATCTTGGATATTTTGAGCGGTTTGGACGATAGTTGTCACTGTCATGCAGGAACACCTTTTTGCGCATTGTATCTTCGGACGGTAATCACGAAGCCGCAAATGACTATTGCGGAGGTGCTCTAGGGGGTACAATTGCTAGGAGGTTTAGTTTAGGCGCGGGTCTTGGGGAAGAGCTGTCTCTCTGCTTCACAGGGGGAGAGTTCTTCCCCAAACCTCTGTCTCGCTAATGCATACAATAATCCCTTCTCGTCCAAAAAGATATTTCCGTTCCTTTTCACTTTAAAGCGCACTTCAGGGTCAAAGTTACAATGGTATGGGGTCAACAAGATATGTAAAGTGCTGAAGTGGCCTCACGCCATGAAGAAAAAGGCAAAAATGAACGCTTGGAGATATAGTGTAGTTCGCTTGGCGCTGCCGGAGGGGCGGGGGCGGGTCAGACGGGATGAGTTTGGCGTGGTGCCAGACCCGTTCTCCACAAGCCCCTAAACCGAGCAAGTTGGTTTAACAACTTTTGTCGCGTACGTGCTTCAACGACTGCAGAGAAACCGATTTTTTTACTGCTGGGCAAACCCTAAGACTGCCTCCCGCCCCGCAGCGAACGTACACTAACCCTTGATTAGATCTTTAGTTATTCGTCCGAGCATCTACCAACTGAGAGCTGGTGTTCGATATAATATTCTGGTTCTGTGCATCGCAGACTGATGTGAGTGTTTGAAAAATTGGAAAAATCCAACCATATATTTACGATGCACGTCATTTCCATTCCTTCTTGTAGCACGTCCATGGATCACGGATAAGACACTTTATAGTGAAGAGGAAAGCAGAAAGCGAAGCGCTCTTGATGGGAGCCCTTTCCCATTCGAACTAGTAGGCGACAACGGCTTGTGAAGGGCGTGCTTGAACGCGTGGAATAGTTTTCTCCTCCCCATCACTTCCGTACCACTAGGGAGCCGTCAGAAATGAACGTTAGGCTCTTTCTTTCCTTTTTGAGCCGCGCTTTAGGACGTCCTCCTCGCTTGCGGACCAGACCAGTTGTAAGCAAGGCATGTGCCATAAAGTGAATGCCAGGACGTGCTTCAAGTCTTACAATGACGCAATGGCTCAGAGAATGGAACAGTCCACTGTCTGCGCCTTAAGGAGATCTATAAAGCGGTGCTGGAGTCATCTAAATTGCCTCAACAGTGGCCATGTCATCACTTTACCGCACTAGTTTTTCATTGACGCACGCTGCTCGAATTGGTTCTGCCGGCTCGGGAAGATACGCCGGCCTTTTTCTGAGTGCACGCTCCCCACGCGGGGCCGCGCGGCCCTGCTAAGCTACATTTCCCAATTCATGGAAGAATACCGTTGTCATGATCCTTGTTTCAAAGCAGATGAGATCTGCCGTTGCAGGGGGGTAACAACTAAGTTTCCGCTTTTTGAGAGAACTCTTTAGAGACTCCCTCGCTCTTAATCTGAAATCAAAATATGGGGATGAACTATCGCGAATTGGCCAAACGATTGGGTCATAACATTATCCGCAGAGGGAATCGATCGGTTTAGACTTCAGACCTATTGCAGACAACACTGGCTTCCAAAAAAATGCAGTACCTTCATTATGTCTAAGGTCCGAAAAGGGTAGTATTCCGTATCGCTGTGGGATGGAGAGGTGCGTGTCAGCGCAATGTAATGGCCAGTGGGCCTTAAATCCGTTCTCTGCCAGCTATAGAAGTAGGTAAGTGCAAAACGAAGGGTATATAAGAAGCAATATGATACACTCTTGCCACCTGCTCGCTTCAACAGCTGGTGGAGAACGGGCTTGTCACCGCGCCAAACTCATTCCCCTGACACCCTTCGTGCGCAGCGAACTCGATTATAATACTCGTAAGGAAATTTGAGCATAGCGTAGCATAGCATGGTGTAGGACACCTTCAATTAATGAAAACGAAATTTAATGCATCCTTTCCGTGCAATGTATCTCGCCGATTGGGCGCCAGATCCGAGTTGACTAGTTTCTCGTAATACCTTGTTTCATTAAAAAGTTACCTGTACGGACGCAAATAGTCACTTTTTTAGAAAGCAGAAGATGTTAAAATTTTCTTTTATTACTTCTTCGCATTAACAGATTGTTTTTAGTGTCGGGACCGAAGCAGAGTTCACGTCGCACTGGAGCGTGATCTCGATAAACAAGTTTTCCACAGGAGGCCATAATCAGGTTTTTCATATTTCTTAAGATCTCGTTCATTTGCCATATCATTCAGTCGAAATATATGGGAAGAGACGAAGGTAGAAGCCATGTTGAGTTTCGCTGCGAATGACGGTGTGTCGGTGCGGCCAGGTTTGGCGCGGCGGCAAATCCTTCTCCATCACTTGTTTGTTGGTGTCAACAAATAAGTGAAACGACTAATCTAAACGATATGGTACGGTTTTAATGATAAGAAGAAATACGCGCCATCATCCGTAGCGAGTAACTATGAGCTGTTTTTCGTACTGATGGAGTGACAGCCTAATGCAAGTATTGGGAAGCGAATAAGCATATTCTTTTCGTATCTGTCTTAGAAAAGTTGAGAGTAGTCGAATGAATGGTTCGCTATGCGCTCATTAGTTTCGTCCAGATGTTTCATCTAGGTAAGCTTGTGTGAAAAGTGCGGTTGCCTTTCGATTGCGTCACATACTGCGGCATTGTTTGCTTGCAACTAAAATGTAATAACGGGGGGGCGGCGGGGGCGACCGGGCGCCGGCGCAGTTCGGCGACGGCGGGGGCATTTTGCAGTTTTGCTAATTCCCATCGAAGTGTCAACACATTTAGAGAGCCTTTTTGTGAGTTGACAGGTTCCGCTATTGTGGCTCGATGAGCTTGCTCCAGCTCACAGGCGTTCACAGGTTCCATGAGGTAAAGTATGCAAACCGGAAGTAGTGGAGCAATGAAGGAGCAACATCCCCCCCCGTCGCCTAACTGCGCCTAAAATACGTGAAGTGTGAAGTTGTCGTTAGTGGGGACATTGGTTATATGGGTTGACATATGCCTTGCTTTTGGATATGACAGCTCC